ACTTTTGAAACCATCTGAGTATTGAAATTTCCAATTGTTTTTGTAAATGTACTTATAGTCCGTGCTACAGACCCCTTTTTATCGAATTATTAACATCCGCCTGAAACTTCGTAAATAGTTTCATCTCATCATAACCTATAACTATTTTATTTAGGAAAATTCTTGGAATTTGGGCGTTTTTTATCTGAAGGATGGCACACTTCGTCTATTTAATTAGGTACTAAAAACTCGTAAATACTCATTTGCTTTCTACTTGGATCGTAAGATAATTTGATCACAACATCGAAAAAAAATGTGGTCTACAAAAATATCAGGCCGTTTGGCCTATATAACCTCGTTATTTTGAAATCTCGGAGTGTAGGGGTGTGTCACTCTAAACGAGTCAATATTTTTGAACGCTACCTTTTTTCTCGTTTCTGTGATCAAATTATTTTACGATTCAAGTAGAAAGAAAATGAGTATTTACGAGTTTTTAGTATCTAATTAAATGGACAAAGTTTGTCCCCCTCCCCCGTCTAAAATGAAAACGCCCTAATTCCTAGAGTTTTAGTAAATAAAATAGTTGTAGAAGTAGCTGTACTACATATCATGGATGATAAATAGTCAGGACGCAGTCATTATATTTTTTTTTTCTTTCTGCCAACGTTTCAACCCAAACATGTGGGTCATCAACAGAGCGTTGTTCGAGCACTGAAGGCTTTTTTAAGTACTGACCAACGTTGGCACAAATAAAAAAAAAATATAATGACTGCGTCCTGACTATTTATCATCCATAAAAAATAGTTGTAGGTTAAGATGAGATGAAACTATTTACGAATTTTCAGGCGGATGTTAATAATTTGATAAAAAGGGTTCTGTACCATGGACTATTAGGTTTAACGTTTTGACATTGGCATTCGTCTTTTCTCCATGAAGTCACTTGCATTTGTTTGATAACTCATTCATCAAAATCCATCACTCCTAAGAGCCGATAAAGGGATCTACACTACTTCATTATGTTATATATAGTTTAGGTTATAATATATTTGCTTAATTTCTCCTCACACTGTTGTTTCCTACTGACAGATAACAGATGAAAGCTGATACACGACCAAGATATCTTACATGGAAGAATCATGCGTAACAGAAGATGAACGTATGACTTCAATGAAACTTTATTTCTATGACAATAGTAAAACCCGAATAAATACAAGTACGATTGATAGATAGATTACTACTTTTGACATTTTCATTTTTAATAACTAATTGAGAAGATCCGTTCTTCCATTGCGATTTTGATTATTTATAGTTATTATAAAACAAATCATAATTTTACTGATAACCAACCAATATTTTTTAAATGAAAACTTTAGGCGCGTTTTTCACTTTGTTTGTGGAGAGTAATTAGATTCAGCCATCAGATCTCCTATGTGTAACGAACGCTCTGGTTAAAATATCTAAAAAATAAAAATCCGGCCTGAAATTATGAACATTTGCCTCGCTAACAGAATGTTCATGCACATGTTCATAATTTCATCCTATTTGTAATACTGTTAGCGAGAGAATTGTTTAACATTTCATTCTCTCTCTAATGGGCTATTATTCAAAATTGTGCCTTAACGCGACGTCATGTTAGGGAGTCGAAAAGGAAAAATTGTGTCGAAAACCAAATTATAACGAGTTCTATTAAAGATATGGATTAAAATATCTCAGAAACTAAAAATCGGACCTGCATACTGTAAGCGAGAAAATTGTTTAGCATTTCATCCTCTCTCAAAATGGGCTATTATTCGAAATTTTATGTTAACGTGACACCGTCTTATAGAGGGGAAGGAAAAAAGTATTGCCGAAAACCAAATGATAGCGAGTTTTATTGTTGATATGGATTAAAATATCTCCGAAATTAAAAATCGATCCATCATACTGTAAGCAAATTATTCAGCATATTATCTTTTGTAATGGGCTATTATTCAAAATTGTATCTTAACACGACACCGTATGTTACACAGGCGAGAAGTCGGGTTTCATGCAATATATGGATTAAAATATCTCAGAAACTAAAAATCGTACCTACATACTTTAAGCAAAAAAAATAATTTCATTTTATCCTCTTTTTAATGAGTTATTATTTATATTTCATATTATTAATCTCGCCTTGTTGACGTTTTCACTTCTGTCGTATGTTCTAAAGCACACACCATAGTTTTTTTTTCTTTAAACTTCCAGGGATAGAAAGTTCATCTGAATCAATACCTATCACTAAGAAAAATTTCTGAATATTGTGGTAACATTAGAATCTTCAGATAGGGGACACTAAGAGGCACTGTGTTTCATCATACGGTGGAGCGTCTTGTGGTGTAAAATTAGCATTCTAGAATCTAGCGACGCCAGTTCGAATCCAATTAGGGAGGGAAATATATCTCGTGGCGGAGCCATGGAATGAATATCGGACCTTTCTACTACTAACAGGTTTGGTTTTGCCTCCCTATGTCAGAAATGTTCATATGGGGGCGGGTTGGCCAAACGTTCCAACGTGTGTGCACAGCATCGCACGTTGCCTGGCCACCTGATAACCGAGGTTGGAAACAATAAAATTATGAGTTCGCGTCTGTACGTCGAGGTAGGGAGCAACCGGAAAAAAATGATATTTAGAGAATACAAGAGTTTGTGTGGATCTCTCACTCAATCTTCTCTGGCTTTAGTACCAGCGACGCGGTTGAGAGAGTAGCGCAGGGATCTCCTGAAGTCCTGCAATCCCCTTACATAGTATCTCTCCTGCTATATAGTTGGAGAAATCAACATGGCTCGGAATTTCCCTCGCCTAACTGTAATAGTTTTTTTTTCGTTTTAATTTAGATTATCTTTATTTATTTTATATAGTTATTGATCATCAGTTAGTTGTTATTTTGCTTCTGTTTTATTTTATTTATTTATGTTTTCTTAATTATTCTTGTTAATGTACTATTTTCTCACTATAATCACTGTCGACGTGACAAATCGTTATATTATGTATTGCTTTTTTTAAAAATTCATATAAAATTATTTGTAAATTAAGTGAAATGTCCAAAACTTTCTTTTGACACAACTTCTTCTACGTTAAGATTTGATTTATGTTAAGAAGGTCAATCAATTCAAACAAAGTAAAGCAACTAATCAATCAAAGTGCCACACGTTTCAAGCACTCTTGAAAGATATTAAAATAATTGATGAAAAAATATAAATAAGTAGTGCTATAATAAAACTTTATTGAGACTAATGGTAGGTTCACTTTAAAGGTCAACAGACTTTGGAATGGCACTAACAGGAGATCATTAGTACAAGTTGAAGGAAGCTCTGATAAGAGCCTTCTGTTTATCTTTTCCTCAAAGAGATGACTCAACGTCTTCAATTAGTACCGGGTGGCCTTCGTGCTCGAGAGGACATCCCTTTTCCATTCCTCAACTTTGATTTTCGAGCCAAGCAAACAGAAATCGAGCAGATCCGGGGTTAGGATCCATTAAGCTTTATTTATAAAAGACACAAGATATCGTTTAGAGGACTTATTTATTTAGTTCTCAGTCATATCGATGTTATTGGATATTTGAAGCTTTTATATTTCAGAGAATAAAGGAGTAGACACACTCTTAACTTGATAGAGAATGAGGATTCGCAGGGAGCTTATCGAAGTCGAAAAATTAATAATTTCTTGATGAATACCGGTTCTAAAAATAAGATAAATATTAGCCGTTCAGAAGGCTACAATACTATCCACATTAATCATGATAGAAAATTTATCACAATGAAAACTACAGAATGTGCTTAAGACCAAACGATAGAAGTGAAAAAAAAACAGGAAGGGGGAATAAATAATATGAAATAAGTTTTTTTTTGTTCTATACTATTCACAATATAATATATAATATTCACAATGTAATGAAAATTTACAATATATACAATTATAATAAACTATTTTTTGTTCTATATTCACAAATTAATAGCATTTTCAACATACAGGATGTTTCAGGGTTAAGTGGCTACACTTTAAAAATGAACTAAGGACCTCAAAACATAACTTCCTTTGAAGGGATGTCCAGAAACGCTTTGCTTAGGAGATATTCACACCTAAAGATTTTCTTTGTTATGAATCGTTTACGTTATATGAAATAAATAAAACCTATTTATTTGTTCTAACTAATATATTATTTAAATATAAAAATTAACATTCATATTAAATGTTGTTCAAAGTTAATGTATGTCCGCAAACACTTTCTTTAGGAGATAGATTACATAGAATACTAATTATACAGAATGCTATGCAGTTACAATGCTCCCGATCACGAAACGTACCTTACATTCAAAGTCCATATAAAGAAATTGAGATGTGTTAGTCAATTAAGAGTTGCAAACCCAGAACATATCAGAATCTATGCAAACAACAGAACTTTTTCGATTGAGTCTCAGGAAACTTGTATATCATGCTGCCAATTTATCTACAATAGTCTACATCACATTCTCCTTCACTGCCGAGCATACAATGACTATAGACAAAAATTCCTTCAAAACTTCATCTCAGAATCTTAGGTTCGTCGTATCTTTCATATCTTCTACCGTCACATGCTTGCGACCACATAAAGTGGTTCAATTTTTATTGTCTTGTTTTTCGTTTAGTTTTGTATAACTTTTACTTTAGGGTTGATATATATTTGTTAATTTTTCTATTATTGATTGTAATTTTGGACCTTTTATCCCTAACTGTATAAAAACTATTGGCTACATAAGGATTAATACTATTTGGAATTCGCATTGGGAACTCTCAATAATATTTATCAGTTTTTAAGAGACTTCCGCAGATTATTCATTATTATGCCTTCCATTTATCCTAATGGTGAATAAGCCAATATGGTGTTTGTAAACGGTTTTTGCAATGTTAACACTAATGCTGCCCGTCGTGAATATGCTAAGCGATTAGTAGAAGATTTTCAAACAAGTCTATCTTTAGCTCCACGATTCAACGTCGTAGAAAAAATGATACATTTGCTATAATGTCACGTGCAGATGGTATTTTTACCCCTTTACGAAATGAAGAAAGGAGTGCGACTATATTACAATATTTTGATGATAATCCATCTGGCAGTGTACGAAGAGCTGGAGCAGGATTAAATATTACGCCAAATACAGTATGGAGAAATCTCATTGCAGATGGACTTCACCCATATCATAATCAAAGCGTACAAAATTTATTTCCGTAAGATTTTCGGCAAAGAAGAAATTTTCCAGATTGGTAAATAAATCAAGTTGAGCATAATCCACGATTTTCAGGGAAAATTCTGTGGACAGATGAAGCTACCTTCACAAGAAGAGGAATCTTCACTCCACACTCTAGCTCCGCATTTCTTGCCGCCTCGAATCTATGCGGCCACATTTCTGGAATTTCTTGAAGATATTCCACTACAACTGAGAGAAAGGGCATGTGGCTTCAATTAGATGTTTGTCCTGCATATACGAAAAAGGTCCACGTCAATGGCTAAATGTTAATTATCTCAATCAATGGATTGGCCGTGCAGGACCAATGGCTTGCCCTGCACTCTCTCCAGACCTAATACCACTGGATTGTTTTGTTTAGGGTGAGATTAAACAAAAAGTCTATGCACGTCCGGTCAATGACCTTAATTCCTTACGAAGAAGGATAATTGAATCTTGTGAAACCCATATCAAGTGCCGTTCTGCCACTGCTGCTGTTGAAGAAATATGCCTAGCCTGTTTTAATGCTCAAGGAAATCACTTTGAACAACATTTAATATGAATTTAATGTTTATGTTTAATTATTAAAATAGTTGGAACAAAGAAATAAGTTGTGTTTACTGTGTGAATATCTCCAAACAAAGCGTTTGCGGACATACCTTCATAGGATTTAATTCATATTTTCAGTTTGGCTACTTCACTGTGGCTATACTTATAACTACTTATAATTGTGATATATTATAATTGTGAAATATCTATTCATTCGTATTCAATGATACGTCAGTTAGTATATGACTATGGCCGTATATTCCTGCCTGCTATCAAGCCTATAGTGGACAACTGGCCATCTTCCACCACACACCCAACAATAGTTCACCTGCCCGCTACCTGGCAGTGCCACAAGTACGCGCCAAAGCACTGTATCCAAAAATTGTATTATTATTTCTCCTTATTGTATTTTAAAAAACTGATGATGTAAATTGTAAATATGTATATGCATTGTGAATACCTTTTAATAATATGTTTAATGGAGATAAGGTTATAGAGGATAGAGATAAGGTTTAAAGGAGATAAAGCTTTAAAATAAATGTGACTGTAACGGCTCTTGATAGCCGATTCAGTATTCCAAGGAATGAAACAGATTTTGAATCTCCTTCCTTCGGGATGTAAGACCTTCCCAGCACTTTGATCAATACATTCTATGTACGCTTTTTGATTCTACATCAAACTGCTTTTTCATTCACTATGCTCCTTTTAACTATTATCCTATTATCTCTCCATACTAATCACTGTACAAACTATACAATACCTCGACAAGACAATTATGCAGTAATGGTACCTTTTTAAAAGAAAACTTCAGTAATAGAGGTCAGTAATTTGTAGAAACACTATTGAACGCAACAGAAAATCCTACAGAAACAGCTAATTTCTTATGTTTATGGCTAGCTAAAAAAAATATCTATCTTAAGACCAATTTCATGATTCTCACATATCTTCTTCGAATATTTCAATAGCATCTTCAGGTTTTTATTTCTAACAAAATAGTAATATCAAAATCACTAAAGATAAAACTGGGTATATATGAAAAAAATGTGTATTGAAAGTTTTAAAATGACACTTATTTTATTTAATTGCAGAACTCATTGATGTTTTATAAACTTAGGACGGTGTTTATAAAACAGCCAGCAATGGGAGTGGAGTAAATCAGTGGTAGGGCGCTGATTTCCAATGCTCAAGGCCTCAAGTTCGAATTCGGCTGATGGCAGATAAATTATTTATTTTCTTTCGTCAGCCGAGGATCGATCCTCCGGTGGGGCAACCCTCCTGGGGCTCACCCAGCCTCTATTAATTGGCTACGCTTAGTTAAACAATTGATTGAGAGGAAAAACGCGGGAGTTGAGAGTGATTTTAGTCAAATCACCTCCTTTCACAACCGATTACCATGAAATAGTACTTCCTCACAAATTACTGAAACCAACACCATTCATGGGTTGAACATAGTGGCACAAGTATAACAAATTTTTATTAAATTTAAGTTTATTTAATTTTTTTAAGTTTAAAAAATAAGTAGATAAAACTGAAGTAAATAAATAATAATTGCAGTTTGTTTGAGATATCAGGCCTTCCCTACTCCTGAAGTAGGGGGAATCAAACCTGTATGCTAAAATTGATCAAAAGTGGTTGTTATTGTGAAATGTAAAATGACCAACATAAAGTTAATATAAAATATATATTACTGAATAAAATCGATATGAAATAAACAGAGTTGGGGGTACCAAAATATGTGGTTACTGTGGTTACTGTGTTAGTGCCTATTTATTTTATTATTAATGGGCTGACCGGGTAAATGAAGATTCTGGCTGTTGGAACGATATTGTCGAATTCACCCATCGATGGACTGGCTTCTGCAAATACATATGGTCAAGTAATGTGATCTGGCCTGCGTGTGATCTCTGAATGCTTTTCATGTGCTGGCATCCATGACATCCATGCTGTCTCTTCCTGGTCACTTCTTTTGATTGGTCTAGCTAGACATATAAACCATTTTGTAGACTCTCACTGTCACTCTCACTCTCACTGGTCTTGTACTTTGACTCTTTTGGGTCACCAGGTAGGGTTTTAGTTGTTACTTTTCACCAATACTTGACACTGCTCTGATGACCAATAGATAATAGTGAGTGGCCAAAACAGATATTTCCTTTTGGAGATTATAAACTCTTTATTTATTTTTTTCGAACTCTATGATACTATTTTCATATATTTTTCATATTGTTTTTCATGTAATTTTTTTATAAATTGTTTTATGTTTATTTAGCAATTACCTATTAATGTTTACTATAAACATTACAAAAATAAGCATAAAACTAGAAAAGAAAAAAATTCAATCTAACAACAGATACAATTTTTAGCTTATGTAATTTGAAACAGTAACCTTTAGCGTATAACAGCAATATTTATCCGAAGCGTTCAGTACAAGAGCAACTTCCCCTCGAAACCAGCACAAACGAAGTTTGTTTGATCTTGGCATGATAAAGAAAAAACAGGGCCGACCCCTTTGAAGATGAACCGTGAAAAAATAAAAATATTCACCCTACCACAGAAGGTGGACTCTTGTAACGGTAAGTACTTTGAGCAAATTCTCGCTAATCGAGAAATGAAATCATAAAGTTGCTACGCTGGCTAAAATGATAGAGAATATATATGGATCCTAATTTAAACATTAACAAATAAACTTATTAGAGATTATGATCTTTTATAAATACGATTATAAACCGAAATATAAAATACGTTAATAAACTGAAAATTCCACACCAACAACTGATTCTACGTATAAGGGAAATCATTCTCTAGGGTAAACAAATCCACTTCAAATTATGCTTCAAAGCCTCACCTAATTTATGACCTAAAGTCAGAAATAATCCAGCTAATAACAAACACAAAAAGATAAATAATGTTATGATAAGCTAATTCTAATAAACAGTACAAAAACTAGACATAAACCAGCATCCTGAAGAAAAATATTGAAAGATCTAAGAAGAAATTCGCCACCATGATATCGCTAGAAGAAAGAGAGCCAAAACGATATGCTTACAGAAACTGGTTAATCGATGTCTCATAATTGAAGTCAAGGAGGTTAAGGGCGGGGATGTACCTCGGTGCAATCCACCAGGAAGCCGCTAAACAGCAATAAATGCCTCAATTATTGTTGCCCAAAATTGGTCTTGGTCTTGCACTTTCCAAGACCAAGACAAAGACTGGCAAAAAAAAAATCGATTTTTTTAATGAAAAGTAAGGCAAAATAGTTACTAATACTTGACAATTTTAGTTACTGTATGTAAAGAATTGGTATAACCAATACACTTTTGCATTTAAATCTCCTAATTTTTCATTCGCTCTTAGTTATGTTTCTCCTATGTAAAAAATTACAGTAATATATCTACAGAGTAATATAATCCGAGACTCTTGCTCAAGACCAAGACCAAGACTTACCTAGGTCTCGAATTTGGGCAACACTAGCCTCAGTAGTAGGCAAAAGACCACGTGGAAGGCCAACATCTTGATGTTAGATCAAGTCAACAAAGATGCAATAGAGAGAGCCCCACGTAGAAAACTGAAAATACATAATCAAAGATAGGTAGAAAAGACTGAAACTAACTAAATTATGTTAATAGAGTAACGATAACTATCTGAAGTCATTCATCATTTATATGCATTAATTTTGTTAATTTAAATTTGTTTAAAGGTTCAAACAATCCATTTTGTTTCCGATTCTATATTCTATTCTATCCAATTCTATTATCGATACTTTATAATCAAGTACTATTGATCAATAAAAGTAAGTTATAACAACATAACTATTAGATGGTTACAGTTAAGAGTTAGTGAAGTTGCAGTCAAGGTGAGTTTTTATAACAAATGGATCAGAGTGTGGGAAGGAGCAGGTGGAGAAAGATCTCTTCAACGCCAACGAGATCAAAACACTTGACAACTTTGATTGGTTTAACTACTAACTCTTCTTTGGGTAGCTTCACGTCACACGAACCGACACAGGAAAACTTTCTCTCACCAAAAAAAATTCTATTTTACTCAACGCGTATAAAAAAATCAGAGCCGATAAAAATTGTTTCGAAGTTTATAAAATAAACTTTGTGAGGTCCTCAACACTCTAGATCATGATGAAAATATTAAATATATTAGAAACTAATTTAATTTTAGAAAAAAAAAACGAAAATAATCCTATATTATTAAAATTTAATATAATCTTATCCATCCTAAAGGGGAATGTACTTGCACATCAATAGCTTACTTCCAAAACCTTGTAATTGTGTAAAAAAAATATCCAATTCCAAGGAAACAAAAAACTATATTTTAATTTTTAAAAAGTGATTTTTTTCTTGTTGTTCATCGAACAATCAAATGATGGGATAGCGACCTACAAAATTGACCATATTCTTTTAAGCTTGAAATTTATCTCAAATCTTATGTATGACGATTGTTTCGGGAAGCAACATTAATTCTGAACATTACCTCATTGTTCCAAGAATTAGAGGAAGGAATATATATAAATTTGTTATTGATAATACATATATGTATTTACTGAACCTGTTTTATAACATTCGTTTGAATTACAGCCAGGAAATAAAACCCCTATATATATAGAAAGTCAGCAGAAGACATTCTGCAATAGCTTTCACCAAACACTAACTTACAATATAAATCCTTTGACAGAAAACCTTAAAAAC